TGACTAAAACGTCATAGTGTGACAGTGCCAACATATCACTTGGCAAAATGTTGAGAAAAGGTTGCAAAAACACCCATTATAGTCAATCAAGTCATGTGTACACAGTTTAAATGCTTAAATCACATACAGTTTACTAAAACAATGAAAAGTTAAGGATTTGAACACAAAAGTTCAGAAAGTTCAGTGTAAACAAGCCTGTCACAACAACACATTTTAATAGCTTGTCTCAGAAATGAGTGTGAAAAATAATATTGTTCGGAGACCATTTTAAGCTAATGATTCTAGCTAAATGCCTGTTCATGAGGGTCTCATGCTACAGAGGTCATGAGACCATGCGCCTGGCAAATATCTTACGCCAGAATTCACTCCTGATTCGTTAAGGAGTAGAAAAGATGGAGACACGAAGAAAACAATCAAGCAGGCAAATGAAATTTATCATTTTAATTTCTCGCGTGATTAATTGATTTTTAGCTTATCGTGACAGGCCTAGCTGTAAATAACACTAGTGAAGGTTAAATGAGACAATCATTTGACATTTGCTGACAAAACTTCAATCTATGTTCATTTCTAACTTTAGTAATGCATTTACTGGAAAGAGATTAATACCGCTTTCATAAATCATTCAGGAGGATACATCCGCACCAAGGGATACTCATATGTTAGCTGATCTCTATGTGGGAGCCCAGCACCTATTAATCTATGTTTCTGCTTCTCTGACCATGTCATCTGGGAAAAAGGCAAATTTATTAAAAGGGCAATAACCACAATGATACATCCGAACATTCCTTTAAAAATGGATCATGTTTAGATGCACTGATGCTGTGTATATCCATTGACCTTCACATACTTCTTGTCTTGTCGGTTTGTCCATTCTCTTACTTATAATTTAAATGTCTTCAAGCAATTCGTTTTCACTTTTCAATTATTTTGTAATAATACTAAAGACCTAATATAATAACTTTAAGAAAAGTGGGTTTTTTTATGGACTGAGGTCTAACTTATTTAAAATCAGGTGCATCAGAAAATCCCATTTAGACTCCATCATTCAAAGTGACACCAAGGTCAGACATCAGAAAGTAAACAGAGTGAAGTCAAAGCTCATCTCAGTCTACAGAAACTAAAATGGGCTTATCTGTGGAAATAGAAATCTGAGTGCCGTGTGAACCTAATCTCCACACAGAGAGTCAGCCACAGAGAGATCTGCTGATTCCCTGATTTACTCTGCCGTTTTTTTTGTGTGTGCTTTGGTGTTTGTCTGGGTGAGGCTCGAACTGACAGATGTTGTCGAGTGTGAAAAAAATACTTTCGATTCTCATGCCTTTCAGCTGTCAGAAAGCAACGACTGTTAAAAGAACTGCGGGGCATATTACCTTCAGCTTACTGTGTGTGTGGCTTACAGAAAGTCCATGGACAAAGAAACTGATCAATTTAAACAATAAAACTAATTAACTACGCATGTTAGGGCTGAGCGGTATATGCGATAGACGGTAGAAACGATATGAAGTTGGCCTACGGTAGAAATTTACTTTCTACCTTCCTGTCGTCAGTTATGTCATCGCACCTGTGTCAACAGGGCTGCGAGTGCAGAGACAACTGAGCAAGAAGAGTTTGAAATATTCTGAAAATAAATGAAGAAATGCAGCATTTTAAAACACTTATAAAGAGAATAAATCCTCAAAATTTCCCCCTCCCCTGTAGAAAAGTTATGTTGTGCCGTCGTGTCACGGGATCATTTCCCCCCTCCCTCCCGCTGCGCGTCGCGCAGAGCGAAGCTTTAAAGACCGTAGTTTTTTCACACCCAAGTTGTTGGGAGAAAAACTGTTTTTTATGTATTGTTACCCACAGAGATGATAAAAAAAGATGTGGACGTTCGTTCAAAATCCATCTTGCTAATGTAACATGTGCTTCTGCTGAGAGTTCAGCAGAGCGGCAGCCAATACGTTCAGCAGCCAGAAGCTCATTGTATGGCAGGCAGATTTTATATTTATTTGGCTTCACCACACTTACATTCCAGTTATCTGAAATTGTTTTATGACTAGGACTATGTGCAGCTGAAGCCCCTTAAGGACCTGTCACACTAAAACATTTTAGGCAACTTATGACAACCTAAAATTGTTTTATGTTGAAATGACTGATTTTACTTGAAGTACTGGTTATAACATCCACTTTATTTTGATATTGTTGAAAATTTGAGAAATGTTTTTGTTTGTTGTTGAAACCATTTTGCAATATATACATAAAACATTCTTTTGTATTTCTGTTATGTTCATTTGCACTACAGCAAAAAAACTGAGATTGATTATGATTACTGTTTTCTGCAAAATAAATGCTCTAAAAATTAAATTATCTTGACTTTTTATGATAATTTTCTATCGTGATATATGTATACCGTTACTGTGAAGGGATTCAATTTATACCATGATATGAATTTGAGGTCATACCACCCAGCCCTAGCACATATTTTAGTTTTCAGTTACACTTTATTGCTGCAAAGTTAATAGTGTAAAGATTTTCTTTGCAAATGTAACTTAATAAAAATAAATAACTAAAGGCAATAATTACATATTTCGTATTTTAATGAATAACAAATAACACAGCAAAATCAGTTCTTTAGCACTTTACTCTGCAGAATTAAAGATGTGTGTGCATAATGCACACACATAAACATGCACACGAGACAAATGGTACAGAAAAATATTAAGCACTTTGTAGCATCTAGCTGAGGCTAAATTAAAAAAATGTTGCTCAACATGCAGCTGGTGAAATGAAACATTCCCTAAGCAGCTGCTAATAGGGCTAATTCTCACTCATATGCACTGACTGTGAGATTCACACAGTTTACACTTTGTATAGTATGCTCCCATGCCTCCTGACCATATAATGAAGTGCAAAACAATTCCATAACTGATAATGCTGAGGTGTAAAACAGACAAAAGGACAGCCAGCTGCAGATTCTTTTGTCCTTTATATTGTGTAGATGTGAATTAAAACAGATCTAGATTTAACATTTTGTGGACCATAATTTTAACCTTTACATTAAATTTATTTATAACTGTGTAAAGTTGCACCTGCATATGAGAGCAGTCAGATTTATAATACATTAGTTGCGACAAGAAGCTAAAGGTTAAAACAAACAGGTGGGATTATTAGATGAATTAAGGCCATTTCATCGAACCAAACAGTCTGCACTTTAATGTGACTGCTGGACTTTTGAAACTGAAGGTTTATTTAATAAAGCCTTAACATATTATGCAGGGGTCAACATAACGATTGTTTAGGTTGTCCGAGACAACCTATTTTTGTTCCAGACAACCAGATCCAGCCTCCCAGTTGTCCGGTGGACAACCAAGAAAAAAGCAGCAGGTGTTCTCATTGTAAAAATGAACAGGAGAATAAAAAACTCGTTAAAGCCACCTAGGGATTAAACTGAAGGTTCTTTCACCCAATAAAGAGAACCACAGTCAAAGTTTTACCCAATCAGAACAGAGCAGGGCGGGTCCTGCTGTCTGACTGACACCGCTGCCTTTTTTCTTTCTCTGTGGGTGGGGGGTCAGCTTCACTCAGTCCAGGAAACGCTGAGGGTTTTCCCGGGAGGTGTTCACCTGAGCTATTTTCCACCGAGAATTACATCATATTTTATATATATTATATTTCTAAAAGCACCTCGCAGCACTCCTCCTGTAACACCGTGTGTTTACGAGCACCACAAAACCGCGACAGATCAGCTGACTGTTTTTAAAGCGAGGGCTGAGAGGCAGTTTGACCACAGCCGCAGCACCTCTTCACGCGCACCGCGGCCCCGACCGGCCCGGGACTTCAGAGTCCACAAGTCTACCCCTTCACATATTTACGTGTATAATGAGCATCACAAATCAGTAAATTTCACAAAAAAATCTGTATTAATCACACACAAGTGGGGTGCGCACCGTGTCTACGTTTGACTTTGATTTTCCTCTAAAATCACAGAGTTCTCTGAGTCAGCTTCAGGTGCTTGTAGTTAATCTTAAATATCTTCTAAATTTAACCAGGTGTTTCAATGCCTTTACATTACACAACAATTATAGTGGAGAAACTTGACAGTTTGGTTAAAAAAACAGTAAAAATAAATTGTGTTTTTTTTTCTATGCAGAGAACTTCTTGTGCTATAATTTTTTTAAATAAATACATCAGTTGAAAACACTAAAATGACAGAAGAGCTGTTTAAATCCCCTTTATCCAGAAAGTCTTCAGTCCTAAGAACACTAAACTGTAGCTTTAATAAGGTCATGTAGACAGTAGGCTATACTACTATTTAAATTAAAATGTTGGTCCTGTAAGCAGAAAGCTTATGGTTGATTGATGATTTTTGCTCTCTATTTATAAGAGGATGAGGAGGAGTTTTACTCAAGCAGCTCCTGAAACTGTTAACCTGCTGACTAAGAACATTTGTATACAGTAAACTTTGTATACATAACAATATAGCCTACCTATTAAATTACATTTTAATTGAGATTTTTTTAATTTTTTTAATTTTTGTTTGCGGACAACCAGATTTCGTCAACAGGTTGTCCGCTGGACAGCCTGAAAAAAATCCTTACGTATGTCTACCCCTGTTATGTAAACATGACAAAAACATTACAAATGCACTAATTTTGAATAAGAGTTCAGATCTGGACCTCTCTAATTATATGCCGTATATAAGGCAGTTTTCATAGATTAAACTAGTGCAAGTACTACATTATCTTATACATATTATCTTTATTATACACTTCATATGGTACAAAAATGCAAGAAATTAACTTTAAATTAGAATTTCTTTCTAGCACGTTGACACCATTACCTATTCATGTATTACTCCATGTTTGTTATATTTTAAAACATGAGCAAGTATTTAAAAAGCCTGTGTCTGTCTGTCCACACTCACAGTCAATAAACTAGTTTTGTTTTCCTGTTGGTGTCTTTGTTTGTTTGTTTGCATTTATTTATTTATTTATTTATTTATTTATTTATTTTCTACTCACCACTTTCAAAACAAGCATCAAACACCAGATGTCCTTTTCGTGGCACTCCTGAATATCCTGGGGGGCTCACGGTCAGCTTGTTGACATTCCCCACCAAGGCATCCTCTCCTCCAGTTTCGCTATCTGGAGAAAGTGACATTAGGGCTTATACATTTAATTTATCCAGATTAGTTGCCTAATATTGTGCTGCAAGAATACAATATAAACAATATAATACAACTTTATTTGTAAAGCGCTTTGAAACAACCCCATTGGCCAAAGTGCTTTACATGATTAAAAACACATAAAAAATACACAAAACAATAAACTAAGTAAAATGAGCCAATATCTAATATCATAAAAACAAAAACATCAAAACCAACATCTCAAACTAAGTTCAAAGCCAATGAGGAAAAAAAAGGGTTTTAATAGGAGATTTTAAAACATGATGTGGGTCAGCCTGTCTGAGGTGCAAAGGCAGCTCATTCCACATTTCAGAGGCAGCGACTGAAAATGCTCGATTAATCACCTCTAAAAGTTTAACTCTAATTAAACTGGAGGTCACTTTTGGAACAGTCTCCCAACAAATACAAGGGAATGTCCCAGTTATTTTACATTTGAAAAGCATCTCAAACCGTTTCTTAAAAGTTCCCAGTCATGCATTCACCGAATAATTTTAAATCTATTGCTGTATGCAATTGTCTGGACATTTGTGTTTTGCATGTATGATTGTATATTGTGATCTTATGTTGTTTTGCTCTTTTGAACATCTTGTGTTGTTATTTATTTTTTTATTCCCCTTTCTTCCTGCCTCAGGACTACAGATGTAAATTAGCAACTATGCTATAATCTGGCTCATTTACAGTCTATACAGAAGTATAAGAATGTTCATTAATGTGTACTGTCCTGATTAAATAAAGGATAATAGTAACAACCTGTCGTTCGTTGTCACAGTGACCCAAAATGTCTAAATTAAACTGCTGATAAGCTTCTTGTTTTTAATGCTGATTTCTTATTTTCAGTCCACGAATATACAGAAAATTGTTGTGTACTATGGATTTATTTTGGTATGAATAATGAGACAATATCGGTTCTTAGGAGCAACCTGAGGAACAGTTAGCTAATTAGCTCCTCTGTAGTATGCAGGACAGCTAGTTAGCACGTAAACAGAGCACCTGTGGTTCTGCTCGTCCATTATACGACAGGCTGCTGTCGTCGACATGAAAGAGGTCTTTCCGTGGGATAACTATAACGTCTTAGACGCCGTCGTAAAACGGTGAAATATTGTCGGAAGCTCAAAAGTGCAAGAGACGCGGCTCGTGTTTACATCCCAGGAACACCTTGCTAGCTAGGCGGTTAGCACGCGCCAGCGTCTGTATGAAGACTCGCTGCACGCTAAGCGATAATGATAAACGCGCTTATTATTTGTCAGAGAAGTAGTGCACCACGTCCTGTCGTCTGCTTGTGTAAAAGTGTGGAGAAGACCCGGTAAAACACATGTTTACACACCAGCCTCGACGTCTCTGGTGTTCTCCTCCATCTTCCTCCTCATCTGTTTCTGAGCAGCCGACGCTCTCAGTGCGTCGCCACGGCAACGGAGCAACATCCGCTTCATCAGTCAGCTGTCAAGGCTTTTAAACAGGTTTTAGCTTTCAGGGAAGTTTAGTCATATTTAGGTTTTAACAGAGTTTTGGGTTGGTTTTTTTTTTTTTTTTTTTTTAGATTTACTCAGATACTGGTTGGTTTAGTGCTTTACTTTGTTTAGAGGGAAATTATGTTGTTTGTTTGCTCTGATGTATACTTCAGACATGAAACTGTTATCTAAATGCAAGAAAAAAATATTTTAAATGAATCTGTTACTGACAGTTTGACACAGACAAAATTCGTTTCTTATAATTTCGATAAACATGTAAATTGCAACCTATAACACATAGCGTGGTAGCCTTTTCTAGCAGCAGCGAAGTGATCCACTGAAAATTTGGCGTAGAAATGAAGAATTATGTATATCTCAAAGGTCAACTCTTTGCTGAATAC